CACCAAACATGAAGGTGAAGACCTCATCTTTCTGAAAATCACAATAAGTTATAAGCTTGGGGGTCACAAAGAACGTTTGTTAAAGTCATCATCATACTAACAAAAAGCTGCATTTGATTGAAATGGTAGTTGTTTTTTTTGACCCTTCATAACATAAAACTACTAGTTTAGAACGCATTTTAATTGCATTCCTGTGACAAAACTTAAAGGTCAACAGCTTATCACACAATCCCTAAGAAAGCATTCATACATGCAGATTTGGTGCACAACTAACATTCATCAATGCTGAAAAGTCATGATGCTTAAGCCGTGACACATTTTGGAATTCTTTGAACAGAAAGTTTTAAAGCCCACTTCTATAAAATAGAAATGCTACATCTCTGCTAAACAAAGCTATTTTTTCCAAACAATTATGGAAGTGTAGTACTCAGCGAATATGCATTCATTTGATCAAGTAACAAGACTTAAATGGTTCTTCTTTTGAACTTTCTATTTTGGATTCTGTACCCGATTTCCCGTGTGACAGGAGAAGTATGATGCTCGGAGATCAACACGACCCAGCAAACGCAGGACAGAGTAAGTGTAACCACACTGAGCCCCATAGCTCTCTGTGACAGGATACGCACCTGTGGCATCTAAGAGACCAGAAAGGAGAAGAGAATGGGAAAACACCCCATACACCACATTAAACTATATTAGTAAAGACATAAGCGAAAAAAAATAAATAAATAAAAAAAGGGGGGTCAACGCACCAATGGCCTCAAAACGAGGCTCACTGCCAGAAGGTGGTATGTCTACCGAGATGAACAGGGAATGGGCCTTGCATTCAACCACAATGGGAACTATGAGCAAAACAAAAGACAGACGCAGTTTGAAACAAGAAAACACATAATGAAAGCCATCTTTCTGCAAGCCCTTACCTTGTGGAAGTCTGGAGGGCTGTTGCAATGTGTTTTTAGAGTCACGCAGTGCACAAGCTACTGCACACAAGAGAAGCAGCCCTCTAAGAAGACATGAACAAACCCAAGTTTGCTAATGGATTCATATTACATACAGAAAAAAAAAGTCTTAAAAAACAATTACCCTGAAACAAATCCAAAAGCCATAGTCACTGATTAACTAAGTGTCTGTAATGTGAAAGCCTAAAACACTACCAAACCTACATTAGCACTAAAACAATATCCTGAGCTATGCGGCTAAGAATGACAACATGTGACTGACGGCTATATTTTAAATGTGTAATGTTGATTGACTTGTTAGCAGTTGGATGTGTTGATTGGCTACTTCAACAGCAGCGGTGCTTATTAGGACATGACATAATTAACTCATTGGTTGCAATCACTGGTTTTTCCAGACTTTCCTAGTTGGCTGGAAGCCCCGCCCATTATCCAAAGCTGAAAATGGTTTTTAAAAATACATATTAATTAGCTTTATGACAACAACAACAATAATAATAAAGGAATATTGAATTAGCATGTTGTGAGTTCGGCAATTGAACTTCATCTGTTCAGAGACAACAAAACAACAAATGAGAGAAGAAAAAAGATCTACACATGGTAGTCATTGCCGTTGTCATGAAATGTTAAAGAGGAAAAGAAGAACAGTTTAAATATTTATTTGCGGGCTGATATTTGTTGGCTTATATAAGATACACAGTAGAAAGCAGGAATAAAATCACTGTGAAACAAGTAAAGGAACAGCAAGGTTAAGGTGTAATTTAAGTGTACTAACCAAGCCATTCTGTCTGGATCAAAGTGTTGCACTTTAAACATAGAGTCATACATACATAGTACTACTGTTCTTCTAATCATTAATTTCTTTCAGTCTTTAAGTTATTCACTCATTTTAGCTATTAATTTTTATTTGGTATTTTGAGATATAACCTTTTCAGCTGTAGACAAATCATTCATTCTGTGTAGAAAACGAAGCGTTTGAGAGAGGCGGGGCATAGAGGACCTACAATAATGTACAGCATTTGAAAAATAATGTGTTTTTTGAACATTAAAGCATGTCAACATATTCTGTTACACCAAATACACAAAATAATGATCTTTAAAAAAGCATCATATGACCCCTTTAATAAATCTGACTAAAGGATTATTGAACCAATGTAATGGTGTATCTGTCCACAAGGTGGGAGCAAAGATACATAAAACTGTGCCAGGAAGCATTTGCGTTAACGTGAACTGCTGAAATTACAGAATTTGACAATCCTAAAAGAAATACAGAGTATCAAATAAATGATGTACTAACTAAGCATATAACATATGGAGACATGATACCAATAAATAAAGCTAAATAGATGATTTGCCTGTACATGCTGTCATAATTACTTGCAATATATTTAATCAACTGTAAAATGTCACAGAAACACTATAACATTTTCTTGCCACTAACTCAATAATAAAAAAGACATAATAAAATATCACAATAACAAAGTTGAACCATATAAAAATGAAAATGTAATTGAATTTGCATTACATCTAGGCCTGAGAATGTGTGACTGTCACATCTGTAGTGTCATCATGATATGACAATGACATGCTTGCAGGAAATGCACCCAGCATGACAGACCAGCTCTGTGTGATCAGTCACGGTTATTTCTCTATTTTTTCCCTTCCATAAAGGGGAATAACAGAAATCACTAAGACAAGTCTAACATGATAAAACAATAAGGGGGTTTTGAGTTTAATTTTCTTTTCGATTTATAAAAACGATGAA